ACACTCAGGTAAGTCTGGTTAGACTTCATTAGAAAACATGTAAAGAGTTGCACAGGTCTGGGGAAAATTCTTTGGACAGATAAAACCAAGATGAGCTTGTACCAGAATGATACGAAGGCAAAGGTCTGGAGAAGCAGTGAACCAGCTAATTATGTGAAGAATATCACATCATCTTTCAAACATGTAATGTTATAACATGGGCATGAATGGCTGCCGGTGGAACCGGATCACTGGGATTTAAAGACAGAAGCTGACAGAAGCAGCAGGATGTGCTATGAAGTGTTCAGGGCTGTACTCTCTGCTCAGATTCAGCCAAATACTGTAAAAGTGATTGGACAGAGCTTCACAGAACGGATGAATAATGACCCAAACAAACATTGATCTGAGGCCCAGTAGGCATCCTTGTCAGATGCCAGAACCACCTCAACTGGCTCCTTTTGATGTGGAGGAGTATCACCTCTACTCTGAGCCCTCTGACTGAACTCCTCATCCTATCTCTAAGGGAGAGGCCAGCCACCCTTCAGGGGAAGCTCATTTCTGGCACTTGTATCCAAAGTCTTGTTCTTTCGGTCCCTACCCACAGCTTGTGACCATAGGTGATGGTAGGGATATAGATTGACCGGTAAAGAGCTTTGCTTTTACACTCAGCTCTCTCTTCACCACAACAGACGTGTACAGCTTCCACATCACTGCAAACAAATAAAGGAACCCAAGAGTTTCTCAAAGGAAAGAAATGGACAAGTCACTCCCCTGATCTCAACCAACAGAGCAAGTTATTCAGGTATTAAATGGAAAACTGAAAACAGAGACACCCACAAACAAGCAACAACCAATGGTGGCTGCAGCAACGAGCATCTGAAGTCCATGGGTTCTAGACTTCAGTCACTGAACACAAAGGATTTCAACCAAAAACACTTCTTACATTTAAAATTGTTAGTTTAGCCATTTCTTTTTAAGAAAATGGGAGATTGTGTAGAATATGTCTGTAAATCCTAAACATATCATGGCATACTCTTGTTAATTAAAGCTGAAAGTCTGCACTTAGTCACATCTTGAATGCTTGATTTAAAATTTTCTGTGTTGGTTTACAGAGGCAAATGTAGAAAAAAGTGTTGCTGTCTAAAAGCGTATTGAGCAGACTGTAGCTGAAGATTCTGTCTGGATGAATAATTATTGACTGACTGGCTGCAGAGAGACAAACATGCACTGAAACAGTTTTAAAGATGGGCTCTTTACAGTTATCTGTTCCTAATGAGAAACGGTGTCCAGGTCACTAGTCTGACACTGAGGTGTGTCGCGGTCTTGTGTGATCGATGGTTACATAAGTCTGTGAGCTTCGACTGTGCATCGGGCGACTGTTATGAATTCTCAATTCTACCAATGTGTCTCAAAGTAAATGCGGTGTAGAGTCATGTGGTAAAACGGATCCAGGGCGGGTTCGGGTCAGAAACAGAAGATCGCCCAGCATTGTTGTTGTTGTTTGTGTGATGTCAAGCCTGCGGGGGAGTCTCGGATGTTATTTTTAGCGGTGAAAGGTTAAACGGAGAAGCTCGACTGACTGAACTAACCGGATTATCTGCCATTCTTGTCTGGATTTCATCATAGTAGGATTCAGTGGGAGACGGGCCATCTGAGACAATTCACCAGTGACGCCGCAGTAAGCTGGAAACCAGCATCCGCACATTTCTCCTCTGATTAAAATCAGCCCAAATCATAAGGAACTCCCATTTGAATACCAAATAATTTCACCTATTTTCTTAAAGTGCCTGAGACCTGACAGAGACTCCTGCTTATCTCTCCCTTTTATTTTCATTTTGCTGCCATGAATACAGAGCGGAGTATCAACTGTGAATATTTCAGTATTTAATCAAATGTCAGAGTGCATTTAGTCTGAGCCCTGAGAGGAGGGTTTTTCTTTAAATGTAATGTGGTGATAAGCGGAGCTGGATTTTAATGTGCAAAGTGAAACTTTTATTAGCGGCTCCCTGAGAGCTCCTCGGCTTTATTAGATAAAACAGCTGAGGGGGATGGAGGAGAGATTGGCAGACAATGCTACAAGTGAAGTGTTGTCACTGAGAGCAGAAAGGCTTTAATGGACTCTGAGCTACTGCTGGACTCACTTTAAATGAACTACATCAAAGTCAAGCACAAAGCAAAGTACATGAAGTAAAACACATGTGCTACAAAAGCTTCAGAGTCCAGGTCAAAGCGCAACACGCCAAATAATCAACAAGAGTACCAGAATTTGTGCCTCAGAGGACCAGAACGTGGAGTCAATCACTTTGTTTTGTTGCAGACCTGCAGCTTTATAATGAGGGGTGGATGGACTGAGTTTGAGTCATCGCTGCAGCCGCTGTGATGTCAGCTATTTTGAAGCCTCGGCCGAAGTGTTTTTGCTGAGCTTTTTGAAAGCAGGTGCCACGAGTCCAGAGTGAACGTGATGCTGCACGGTTTCCTCGTCCGTCCACTGACCGATCAGGACTTTGATCAACAAACTGAGGAATGACAGCAGGCTGGCTAGTCGTACAACTCAAATATGCAGCTCAGCATAACAGAAACCAGTCCTTGTGTTTGACCTCAACGCCGTCGTGTTCAGTTTCATATGGACTAACTTTGTTTTTAGGAGAGATTAGGTAAATAACATGAACAAATACTTTGCCTTTTATTTTTTCTTTAATATTTTTCTTATATTTTCTTTTTCTGTGTGGGTGTGTGTGTGGGTGTGTGTGTGTGTGGGGGGGGGGGGTTACAGCTGCTAATCCCAGTGCTTCAGTCTGGCAGCAGTGAAACACACAGGCTGTGTTGGACAGTAAAACAGGCACCGGATTACAGATTAAAAGCAATTTCTAATCTTCTTTTGCACGGCTCTTCAGATATGGCCCAACTTGGCGATGTCTGAGCTCCAGCTGACCTACAATAAGATAAGACCTTCAACTTTCCACCATCTCTGCTCGTCACAGAGGTCACCAGAAAACATCAGAAGCCTCGCGTATGAAAGTGCACAGGCTGTAGGTCTTCCTCAAAGCCAGAAGTTTTATTTTTACTCCAAATCCTCAAAGAGACACAATCCCTCACCCCCTCGCTCCCCCCAGCCGTTAGCCCCACTCCACCTTTCATCAGTCGGGTTCACCTGAAGGAAAGAGGTTTGAAGTTCACAGCCATTCGAAACAGTGTGAAGTTTTTAGGTTTGGTTTCATGTGTTAAAGTCGCACGAAGTTTGGTTTAGTGCTGCAGTGTTTGGATAGAGCAAAGTAAAGGCACCAGTTCAGGAAAATAAAAATGCAAACAAGTTACTGAACAAAGATTTGGTAATTAATTTTTCTCTCTTTTTAAGCAAGACAGTCTAAAATAATCTGGTTCCAGCTTCCTCAGAGTGATTTTATTTTTTATTCTTTTTGGTTGCTGGATGGGGGAAAAAGGAGATTATGATCTGTCAGCATGTCCTTTGGGAAAGTTTCATCTAATTATTCACTCATTAAATATTAAACCATTGTGGGAGAACTAAAAGAATTAGATTAGTTTAAGGCTTTTATCTGAGTAACATGATGACATACCTGACAGTGTTTGCCTGCAGCTTCTCCAGTGCGACTGTATTTTGTTGCTTTTATATTGTTTTTATAAGATGGACATAAAAGTATTTTTTATATACTGTATTTATACGTGTTTGGGTTTTCTGTTTGAGAGCAGAAACTTGGATGTGATCACGGTTTGTGTCTTTCTAAAGTGAATATTAACCAAATGAAACTAAGTAAAAGTCAGCTGATTAAGAAGAAAAGTTTTTAATTGAAAACTGAAAATTGCAAAATATGTGTACACATAATGTATTCATTAATCAGCTTAGGACAGTTAAAAAGTAGTAAAAAAAGATTTTTGTTTTAAAGTGGGTTTATTTTTCATATTTGTTGTGAACACAGGGATTTTAATTGTTGCATCAGTGATAACAGCGTGTTCATGTTTTTCAGGGCTTTGAATGTCACAGTAATTTAATGGAAGAAAATACAACAACATATAAAGAAAACTATTCACGTACGTTTGAATTACAACAACGTGTATATGGAGGCTGTCCCTCTCTCTGATCTACAAGATTGTTTTCTCTTTATCCAGAGTCAGATTTTTGTAAACGGCTTCTTTACAGGCAGATTAAATAAAGACTTTCACATCAGATATTTGAGGAGTTTAATATTAAACTGATCCATATTCTAAATGAACTCTATTTATTAATTAAGCAGAATATAAAAGTAAAAGTGCTACAGATAAGATGGCAAGAAGGAATTTAAATGTTTTAAATGAGTTTTATTTTGTTGGCAGAAACATCATAGTTCAAGTAAAAGAGCAGAGTCATTAAAATGTTAATATTTTTTACTGTGTTCAAGTAAAGCAACTGATCTTATTTCTTCTTTTCATCCCAAGGCTCTGCAGGCTGTGCAGTTTCAGCTCTCTGATCTAAAATCATTTCTTTTCATGTGTCGGAGTCAGATTTCCTTTTAAAGGACTTCTGCACTTGTGGAACAAACATCATTTGTCTGGAGCTTCCTGGGACTTAAACCCTGAGATGGCATAAGCTTCTGGACTTATTGTATTTGTAACAAAGGCATGAAAGTACATTGAGCGGAGGATTTAAGTATTCATTTATTCCTCCGAGCCCAACGGTTGTCACAGTTTTTTGCAGCGATCAGGTTTTCGAATTGAAACAATGAAGCCTGGAGAGAGAAACGTGCAGGAAACCGCCAAACGAAACAGAAAAACATCAGCAAAGATTCAAAGGTCCAGCAACCTGAGTCTGTGCAGACATGTGATGTGCTCGTGAGGACCGCTCGGAGCAGTGAGGCCTGCAGGATGCCTTGATTGAAAGCAGCCGGGGAACCATGGCACGGCGTGTCCGGCTGGGCCAGGAGGGGGTGCGTCGAGCCAACTAGTCATCGTGGTTGACAGATGCCCCCAGAAAGCCACTAACAGGATGACGCCTGCGCTGCGAGGGCTGCGAGGTAAAGACGGATTATGTCTGAGCAGTAGATAAACAGATTATTCCAGAAACAGTGCCTACTTTTTTAACCTCGTCACTCTTGCCACACTTTGCAGCAGGTCCTGTTCTGGATCGGTTTACGTTTCCACACGCATCCTGGAATTCATCGGAAGCGTTTCAGCAGCCACTCAGGGTCCCCCGAATGACACGAGGTCGACCCACGCCCATGATCTCCACCTGAGCCAGAGGAGCCCCCTCCTCTCCGCTGACACCTTCCCTTGTGCTGCTGGATTTACTTTGACGTTCATATTTCAGGAGACCGTCCTACATGATGCTTTGGGCGTTTGGACTCGCTCTGCTGCTCGCCGTTGCTCCGCAGGCTGCCGTGATTAAAGGTGAGCCTCATTGGTTCGCATTTTATTCTTTGCAAACAGAGAGGTTAGATGTGAGGATTTAAAGAGTAAGGCTATCTATACTCGTACTAAACTTGGTCACAGTGTGAAGCAAAGCCTATTACGATTGCGTAAGTACTTGGCTGTGAAGTCATCGTGGAGTTGGACTGTCACTTTTCCCCCGAGGATACCAAAAAGGCAGTTTAAATGCATGGTGACATCGCAAGAAGTTTGCCTTCCTCCAATTATGTGTGTGCAAACATGTCCTCAATGCAAATGGAAATGCAGAAACAGATAATGGCAGTTCAGTAGATTCATGGCTGGCGTGCTGACAGCTTGACAATTTGAATTACAGCTTTCTCTCCTCACTTATTCAGGAAAGAAAGAAAGCTAAAAATCTGACAAAAGAGGGGCTGATAATCAAAGTTATAAAACAAAGTTCACCTTCACTTCAAAACATTTCTCAGGCTGTTTATTTCTCCCAAAAGCAGCCCGATGAATTACAACCCTCACTTTGACTCATGCTGTCCTAAATTTATCTACAACAAACCTCTTGTTTAGGAGCGTCCTTTTGGTACACCGAGTGCTTCCAGTTTTAGTGTGTGTGGGCGCCTGAAGGAGAGAGTCGACCCTGAGCGATGACTGTAAGGCAAACGCTGAACTCGGCTCTGCTCCATGCAGCAGATAAACACAAAACAGAGAAATGCTGAAGGACTCACACAGATTAATGTAGGGAAAGATCACGGCATGTGCCCAAAGTGAATGTGAGGGATAGGTGGAGGTTTAGAAACAAGAACATAGAGAGAATCAGAAGAAAAGGTCAAAAACATGGAGCTACATGCAGTAGCAGACAGCTTTATAAAATATTCAACACAAAAAGGTTTTATTGGTGCAATTTGGTGGTGGTCTCTTTCTCAGTTCAGTCATTAGAAACATTTAGAAAGATTTCTGCATCACTCACAGGTTTAATATCTTTAATTAATCCGTTTCTTTTTTTTCCTGATGTTCCCTTGTTTATTAATAACACATACTGTATCATTTACAGGTATTACTGCTCCTTCAAACTGAAGCGTCGGTAGTGATACGGAAGGATTTAGTGACATTAATGCTGCATAAAAAAGCACATCATCAAAATTAACCTGGACATTTTCAACACTGCAGCTTCTTTGGATAGAAAACGGTATCTAATGAGAGCAAACTCAGAAGTGAAGTATTTAAATACTTTTACATCCCACATTCACCGTCAGTGCAGACAGTAAAAGCTTCGGTGTTCAGAAGATGTCAGGATTCATAAATTTTAACAATTATGATGTTTACAGTTAGAAAACTAGAAAAAATGTGCATAATTTACAGTTATAAAATCCTCTGATTAAAGCTGACTTTAATGTCCAAAATCCATCAGGTTCTGTAGGATACTGAGGATTTAGTCACATTAATGCTTCATAACATATCTTGGAGACTTTCTTCTGCATTCAGCTGTAACGCTGCAGCTTCTTTACGATTTATTTTCTTTGCAAAAAATGTCACGCATGTAAATATGTTATTGTCATCTATGTATGTTGAACTAAAATAAACTTAAAGGTCTGTAAGAAAGAAAAAGAAACGGGATACGTGTTGTGTAGCAGCATGTTAGGAGGTCACAGAAAGTCAGGGTCTCTAGAAAGATCATTTAATACCAGGCTTCAAACCACTGACACTTCGATACTGATAACCTAAAAGCTTTCAGGGACTCGCCTGTAAGAACACAAATCTCAGTCACAAATCTTGATGCCTACGTTGTTGTGCTCTGTAGTCATGTCCATGACATTTTAATATGAAGATTTGTCGAGTGATTATTGTGTAACTAACCGAGACAGCCAGAGGGGAGAATGTAAAAATTAGCTGTGATGATAAACAAGTCAAACTAAGAACTTCCAGACCTTTTACCCTCTGAATGAGACCACTGAGGGAACAAAGTGTGGATCCAGTCTCCTCAGATCTGGGCAGTGATGTTAGAGTTTGCATGTGTGTCTGCTAACATGCTGCTTAAATGCTACTAACACGCTGCTAACATGTTGCTAACACGCTGCTAACACGCTGTTAACAAGCTGCTAACACGCTGCTAACATCCTGGTAATATGCTGCTAACAAACTGGTAGCATGCTGGTGTGGTGTCTGAAAGTTCAGGTTTATCTTATGAGCTAAAATACAAAAACTGTAAATCTGCCGGTTATAAAATACTCTCTGACTCTGTTTACCAGCTCGTAGCCATGAAGCTGTGCGTTTGCTTTCAGAGCACATCTTTGATGATGTGTCCTGTGGAAGTGACAACCATTTTTTTAAATTAATCCTGTGATGTCACTGCTTTTCTTTTACTGCTTTCTCATTTTTCTCAAGTGGAGGAGGTAAAGTTGAGGAGGTAGACTTGAGGTCTTTGCTTATCTGTGAGGGAATAAGGAGGGAGCAATAGTAGTAGAAATGAGCGCCAGAGATTAATAAGAACTAATGGTTAAATGCAGAGGAGTGTATACACATGGTGACTGAAGAAGAAACACCCAGTGCATCATGGGAATCCCCCAGCAGCCTACACCTATTGCAGCATAACTAAGGGAGGATTCAGGTTCACCTGATCCAGCCCTAACTATAAGCTTTATTTTTCATAGACACTGAAGGGTGTCTGGGCCCTCATCTGAGGTGTTTCAGCCATGTCCTACTGGGAGCAGACCCAGATTTTCCCTTTGGTCAAGTCTTTGTGCCCCCCTGTTCTGGACATATCAGACTTGGATAAGTAGTTTTGTTTCTGAAGTGACCAGAACTACTTTTGTTGTCTCCTAAAGAGTTGTTTTGCATATTAAATGTCTGAAACTAGTCGTCCAAAGGCTCAGAATATTCCGTTTCTAATGAATGGAGACAGAAAATAGCAAGTTTAATGTGGATCTGTCTAATTACTGAAATGCTAATCAAGGCTTTTTGGTTTATGGACGTCTTTTCTACCTCTGACTCTTTGCAGAGTAAATCAGACCGGCGGTGGTGTCATTGTGGTCCTGACGCTGCTCCATCAGTCTGCGTTTGACTCGTCACGATGTGTGTTTGTCTCTGAAATATCTGGCATCTGTTTATTTACCACAGCAGCGTAGCAGCAGCTGGTGTTTTATCTGCTCTTCACTGCGTTCGGCTCTGATTCCTCTCCTGCAGCTCCAAGCTTCTTCTCCTGTTTGTTTTAAGCCTCTTGTAGTACCAGACGGATGGGGTTTAAATCAGGCAGTGTCGTTTGTGTCGCCAGTGGCAGAAAATGACTCTAAATCCGATTTCGACTGTTTTCAAATGTTGTTTAAATCTGGTGACATGAGCTGCGCTGCTCTTTGTAGTAAACACCACCCATCTGTTGCTCTAAACAAATGCCAGGGATTTGGAACTGACCGCGATCTGCTCTGCAATGACTGTGTTTTGACCCTGAAGTTATTTTTTACCTCATCTCTTTGTCTGGCTCAGAGGGCGATGGAAGGATGGACTTGGGGGTGAAGATGGAGGCCGTTGGCCCGGCGGGACTGGCGCAGCTGCTGAAGATGCCCGCCCTCACCAAAAGTTCAGGTTTTAAACCAGAGCTACGCCGATCCAAGAGGTCGGTGTTTTTACACTCCGGAGTGAGAATCTGCCCCCAGGAGACCATCAGTGAGGTGATCGCAAGCCACCAGGCGTACTACCAGCTCAGAGGTACAATTTGTATTAGTCTGGAGACAATAATACCCCCTAATCGCTGTTGTCAGCAGTATTCCTCTGATAAATTATAGGTATACTACAACTGAATTCAAGTTTTATTTATATAGCACCAAATCACAGCAGTCGCTTCAAGGTGGTTTATGTTGTAAGGTAAAGCCCCTGCAATAATAGAGGGAAACCCCTACAATCAGACGACTCCTGATGAGACAGTGGCAAGAAAAATAAAACCCTTTTAACACGAAGAACCAGTCTCAAGGAGGGCTTCTTATCTTACCTTTCCTAAATCAATTGCTGGTTTTCTGCCTATAAATCTGCAAATAACTCCGAATTATCGGCCAAATATTGATATTGTTCAAATTCCTTCTACAAACAGGCCCTTTTTGGGCTTTTATTTTGAAGCTCAAGTGTAAAGAATGTGTCTGTGGTCACCAGGATGTAAAAATCATGCATGAAACCATGAAACAAATATTGGGTTTGGTAAATCTGCTTCAAAGTAAAGTTTAGAAAGATTTTTTTTCCAGTGGAGTATAGGTTTGATGCACACGTGCAAAGTTACACGACGTTATGCCTTAATTGGCGGCTCATTATGGGGGTCCTTTCGTCAGAGCAGCTCTTATTTGCATTTTGTGCAGGGCTGAAGGTAAGAAAGTTTCCCACAACAGCAATAAAAACTGTGAAAAATATTTTACTATCTGCTTATTTTCTTTGCAGAAGTGAAAAAAAATGTTTTCTGATGCTTTGGTAAGAATTGTGTATGTGGGTGGATGCAGGAGGCAGTAAACAGCTGAAACAGTCGTGAACCTCCACCCTGTTACAGACTGCACCCATACGCTTCTGTTCGTGACACGGCGTGCTTTGAGCACCATGTCTCCTCTTTATTCTGGCTGTTTATGAGCCTCACTGACTGGCATCAGAATGAATTTACATCAGTTTGTTCAGAAATGTTCAGAAATCATTTGATGAAGACGGAAGAGGGAATAAATATCAAAGAACATCTGGAGGGATCGGATGACAGCACTGAATGCACGCCTTATTATTACCTCTTCCTTAAGATGAAATCCTTACATTTAGCAGTACGATAGAGTGTTGGAACCACTGATGGTGCAAAAATAAAAATAAAAAAAGGTGAGGTGTGGGGATGTAGGGGTTGTTAAAAGTTTAAAAAAAAGTTCAAAGAATAGTCTAATGTTGGTGCGCCAGCATGGGGATTTCAGTTAAGTATCAGAAAGGGAAGCAATGCTTTTCCTAATAACGTGCACATTTGGAAAGGTAATCTCCAAATTTATAGCTTTTCTTCATCTTTAACTGGCACTGCTCTCACCACTGTGCTGCCTTTTGTTGTGAGAAAATTAAATTTGTGGCTCCACAATTTTTTTTAAATGTGGAGGACAAAGCAATTAAACATGATGCTGTGAATATAATTTTACTGGTTTTAAGTGTTTGCATGCTTTCAAGACTTAAATTTAATCAGATTGAACTTCAAGAGTAGCTTTAAAAGCCTTAAATTTAGCAGATTTTACCTGCAGACATCCACACAAAGAAAAGACAAAGCTGAAGTGCAGAAGCGTCGGTTTCTACACACAGTTTCCAGCAGGCAGTTTCACTGTGGAGGGGGGGAGTGGAGGAAAGCACAGGTACATGATCCCACACTCGAGCCAGCTGACCCGTCACGGCGCCACTGAGGAGCGATGGAGTGAGTCACAGGCGTGAGTCACTCCCCTCCTCCGCACAGAAAAGTGCCGAGCTGTGCAGTTTGTTCAGCACAGGAGCAGGAGCACGGGGATCATACCTGTGAAACAAAACGGCCTCCGCACGACTCTTCTGAGCGACAGATGCAGGACAGTGTGAGGAGTCCCATGTTTGCAGGTGGTCCAAAAGGTGACGCCCCCCCACCCCCACTGACGTTTTCTAATCCCTTTTTCTTGATCTTTATACAAAACACCATGAGCTTAAGGAAAGGTGTGAAGGAGAGCTGATGAGGCCAGGAAGATCAGACTGCTGGACTAGAAACTCCTCATCATAGATACTTCTTCACATGTGTGGCTTTTGCATGCAGGCTGTATAAATGTGTCTCGTATCTTCTCTTGCTGCTAAAGGAAACTTGTGGTTTTAATGGCTTTGTGATGATGATCAAATCTGTCAGTGCAGAATGCCCAGAAAGAGGACAAAACCAAATCAACCTCCACTTTCACTCCATTTTCACAAAGCTCATTATCGTTATTCACAGAGGTCAGCTCTGAAGAGAAGAAGCTTTATAACAAGCACATCTTAATACAGCAGCAGTTCAGCTGTGGATTTAAAAGCCTGTTGTTGAATCTTTAAAGCACGTCAGCAGGTTACAGCATGAGTGGAAAACCTCATCGCCCTTCAGTCTGCTTGTGAACGGTCGGCACAAGTCGTGGGAAGCCATCTCCTTCTGATAGTAAAGCCACACCACTCTTCATATGGACAAACTGTTCATGAAAACAGAATTCAGCGTTACCCAAAAATCAAGTGTGCCCTATAACCTTCAGCAGCGGGCGCCCATGTGCATGAAAACATGGGGTTATATATATAAAAGTTCTAGTTGGTCGCGGCATCCACCTCGAGCATTTCGCTGCCGTCATTTTTAAACTCCTCCCTCCACCGCCGCCGATGGCGCCCTCCTCCATCTTTGTTTTCCATCCGAGCTCCCCTTGCACTTCACATTGATCCACATCAGCCTTCACCTCCCTCCCCACACCTTCAGCGTCTAGACCCCTGCGGGGGGCATAGCTGTGCACCTCGCGCCCCGAGTACCCCCTAAAAATAATTAAATGGCGTCTAAAGGCCAAAGAGTCCTCACATAATTCAGCTTTTTCTTCGTTGTGCTCATAGCTGGTCTAATAAATCTCTTTCTTTTTAAGCCTCGATCTCATCTGAGTCGCCCCTGACAGAGCAGCACTGAGATGACGGATGAAAACTGTTTGTGACATCAGTTTTAAATGCAGCTCGCCTCGGGCTGTATGCGTGTTTAGCCGGATACTACCAAAGAAAGACGGGCCAGAGTAGCTGTGGATAAAACATGAATTTCATAAACAAGACGTGTGAATCTCTTCAGATGTTCAGTGAGAGTTTATTTGTGTGTTCGAGGAGTTTTTCCCTCAGTTAAAATTCACTCTTTTATGACTATTTATTGTTATTACCGGCACCCAGGAGCTCCTACTTGCAAGAAGCCAAATTAAATGTGTTTTAATGTTTACCCATGTATGCGCAGCGTCTGCAGCCTGCAGAGCTGCATGCTGTGTCCGTGTTCCTTTATCCTGTGCTGTAAATGTCAGAAAGATCCCGCCCCACTCTGATGGCTTAATTCTGTTTTCACACGTTCACGCTTCATCTGATTTTCGTGTCATGCACAAATATCTTTTCATCTTTCTCGTCTTATCTCTGCTCACACTCCTGTTTGATCTTTTATCCTCGTCTAACACGGACTTTATTTTCCGATTGATTCAGAGCGGATTAGCTCAAAGTCTCGTGTGTGTTCTGTAAATTTGGACATACCGAAGGCTTCAGTGTGTTGTTTAAAAAGGGAAAATCATACAGCTTTGCTCACAGATCCCACCGATGGACATTCTTTAGTTATTCCCAGTGAAACCAGACAGAAGCTGACGTTTCCACAGATGGTGATGGTTCATTCAGACAAAGCAAGAAATACTGGTCTGATTTCTGCAGTAATAATAAGTATTGCATCTTTGCTACCTAAATAAAACCACAATCACGTCTGTGGTGCAGCATTCTCATGTGAATATTTTCTTTCAGTCGATGAAATCATTGATCGTCTTCCTCCACTCACCTCTAAGCATTCACAGCAGACGGCTTTCTCTGTTTTCTCAGTATTATTGTGGGGCCTTACAATACAAAGCTACTTCAGACAACTCTTAAAGAATTGAATTGAATTGAATGACCCCGGGTGTGACTGTGGTTTAGGTTGTTTGTAGATTTGTTCCCTCAGTGTTTCCTGTCTCATTTTTTTGTTAAGTTAATTCATGTGTCACTTCCTGTTTTATTTTGGTAGTTTGTCTTGTGTTTAGCCTAATTTCTTTGATTTTGCCTCCTGTGTCTTGTTACCCTGCTGTTTCTGCTTTACTTACCCTCGTGTATAAACAGCACTGTCTTCCCCTCGGTCTTTGTCTAAGCGTCTGTTAATCTCCCACATGTGTCTCCAGCTTTGGGGTTCTTTTTTTTACTTTTCTGATGGACTTTGTTTTGGCTAGTAAAGAGCCCATAAAAGAAAGGCTCACTTTAGTTTAGTTTGCCTTTCTCCACATGTCTGCAATTCATTGCAGTTTCTTGGTTTTGGAAGACATAAACTGCACGCCTGTTAGACTTCAGCAGAAGAAGATGGATGGACGACTAAACCAATCTTACTGTGCCATCAGTTTTTGTTTTTTAATCCTCCTCAGTTAATTCATCCATCACAGACACTGCTGCAGAGTTAAATACGTCCTCTGGAGGTTGGAGAGCTGAAACTGTCTGATTCATTTAAAAATACCTCGCAACAAATCTGTATTTGCATATAGATAAACATGTACATGTTTATGAATATAAACATCCATAAATGGATGAAATGTTGTTTATATTAAAAAGAATGAGGCTGCTGTGAGGAGGTGGATATTGGAGGTGAGGAGGTGGAAATGTCACTATATTAAAACCCATCTTCTTTATTTTAGTGATGTGGCACAACATCAACATCCACCTGTGCAGTTTTTCTGTCATCAGACCAGGTCGAAGGTTTAAACCTGATCTAAGGTTTAGGATACATTTGATGTCTGCTGGTTAACTATTGGAGTCAATCTGGATTTAAATAAATTGTCATCTCTGCGAGATGTGACAACACTGGACACTTGGAATAACTTTGTACAAGTTTAAAAGTGCAGATCTGATTAGAAAACGATGTTGTGATGATATAAAGAAACCTCCGGATCCAGCAGCAAAGTGTTCAGTGCTGAACATGGTGTGTGTGTGTGTGTGTGTGTGTGTGTGTGTGTGTGTGTGTGTGTGTGTGTGCGTGCGTGCGTGTGGTCCTGTGGTCAGTTTGTCAGGAGGCGGTGTGGGAGGCGTTCAGGATCTTCTTCGACAGGATTCCGGGGACGGCCGAGTACCAGCGATGGGTTCACACGTGTCAGCACGAGTCGCTCTGCATCTCTGACCTCGCCAAAAACTTCAGCGACTCGGAGGAGCACGTGAGCATGATTCAGCGGGTACGAACGAGATTCTTCACATCTGCCCGCAAACCATGTTTCATGTTCATCCCAGCTAACCTGTCATTGTTTTCATCGCTATGTTGAAGGCGTGAGTTACGTCTTGGATGCTTTTAAATAAACGAAGCGGAGTGAGTTTCGCTGTCAGTCAAAGACGCACAGTGAACTGGAGTAAATATGCAGTGCTCCTTGTCATCTGTATTTAATTGAGAACCTGATGTTAATCCAATCACAGTGAAACTGAATGGAGACAGTTTTTACTTTATACTATTTACAGTTTTCTGAAGATCCTTCACTTTCTTTGGTTTCTTTTTCTTTTTTTCACCTGAGCCTTCAGCTACAGACACTTCCAGTATATTTTAATGTTTTGCTGTCAGTTGTGTTTGTTTGCGTCATTTCTGCTGTTTTTTCCTAAAGTCTACTTTTTTTTCACTTCCATTTAAAATGTTTTGGTCACAATGAGCTAATTAGTTTTCTTAATTTAGGATATTTTTTGCTGTTTTTACAACAAATAAGCTGATTATCCCAGCATGAATCAGTCCCTCTAAATCATTCAGGCACCTCACTTGCAGGAGTGTGGTGGTTGGAGTTTGTTGGCCGGCAGCCGCGTTGTAAATCCATCAGCAAACATGCAAACATTCGTCACCGCAGCATCTGTCCTGTCTGTAAAGTCTCAACATTAACGGCACAAAGATTAAAAACTGCGGAGATTTATACTGAATCAGTCCAGTTAACCTGCAAAGGAGAAAAGAGCTGCTTTAATAGCATTTAGCTGCTCAAAACCGCCGGGAATATGAGCGAGCTGGACATTTAAAACGTTCATTAACATTCAGAGGCGTTTTTAAAAAATGATACTGTGGAGATTTAATAAGTTTAATCGCCAGAAGGTTTGTAAAACTTCAGAGACAGCTGCAGCTAAATGAAGGTTTAAACCACAAGAGGCACTTTTTAAATGAAGCCTGGTGTAAAAGTAAATCAAATAATCAGTTAAAGTAAAACCAAACAGCTGCACACGAGCTGAAATAATGTGTGGTGAAAGTAAACAATTGTTCTGGTTTCTGATTGGTTTACAGAGGATGGACCGGCTGAGAGACAGGAGGCCTTCATCACGGTAAGAGCTGACAGATGATTCATGTTCGTTAAGCTCTCACTGTGCTTCTCTGACTGCATGCACACTGATAATGTGAATATGATGCAAACAAGGCCATTAAACAGTGTGTGTGAGGGTGTGAACCCGCAGGAGTCCAGAAATGTCATTTAAACAAATGATTCGAGTGTCAGAGCGAAAATCAGCTTTACATTAAAAACTTGGTGATTTCTTAAAAAAAATGTCTAAAGCAGAGGTATCAAACATAATAATAATGCAGTCCCATTAAACAGTATTGAAAAAAGTGATAGACGGTGTAAACGTTGGACTTTTAGTTTTACAGCTTTATTTACAGACAGAAACTTCCCACATGGTCATTCATGCTCCACCAAAGTAATTGGGTAAAAAAACTTAAATAAAACACTTACATAAAAGTTCCTGTTTTTCACTGCCTACTATAGATATTTCATTTTGTTTTTACGCAGGATATCCTGTGTATCCACTGAAAACTATACACTGTACACATGAATACACATTTGTGTAATTTTACACGTTTACAGTCTAAAGATCAGATTTTGTAATCTGGTTAAAAGGATCGTGGTTCTGATTGAACCCTCACTCCCTGAGGCGTGTTTCAGAGGTTTTATGCAAACCAACACGATTTTAGTGTCTTACCACGTGCTGAACTTTGCATAGCTGTTAGAAATATTCATTAGTTAAACTTAACAATGAGCACTCAATAAAGGCGGGGGCGGCAACCTGCCCCTGAGCCGGGCTCTGCCAGAACTTTCTTACTGTTAAAAGGGAGTTTTTCCTTCCCACTGTTGCCAAAGTGCTGGCTCACTGGTAATATAGTTGTTGGGTTTTTCTCTGTATGTACTATTCCAGGGTCTACCTTACAATATAAAGCACCTTGAGGCAACTGTTGTTGTGATTTGGCGCTGTATAAATAATTTAATTTAATTTAATTGAATGGAGAAGCAGATTTTCAGCACCGTCATTGCCAGCAAAATTAATCGATTCCAGGCAGTTATTGGCCATTTACAGGTTGGGAATTTTGCAGGTGCCAAATATATTTTGGCAATATTTGAAATTTACAGACATGTTGCCAATACTGACGTCAATGACAGCTTGGGCAAAAATAACAGTGGATGAGCTTCTGGTGGTCGTTATGGTCTTTTCTGTTGTTGTCTACACATTTCTGCCACTTCAATCGAAAGATTCCTTCAAAATATGTATTCATGCATCAGAAACATCTTACCATACATAACGTGTGCCAGGAGAGGGAGAGGAGCATGAAAGATAAATAACTTCCCTTAAGAAATAGCAGATTTGAGGGGTAATTACACACATGCAATCAAAAGGTTCCTCATTGGATCTTTACTAAGGACTGAAGTGCTACAGTAAAGGATTTTCAAATGTATGTTTTCATTTGTAAATTTTAAGTGTTTATTGATTTGCAGCAAAGCATCACTTTCATAGATTCAGCTGAGCAGTCTGTCAGTGAGTCATGTTTCAGGGAGAAACGTCACATCGGTGCAGATGTTGCTCTAATGTCACGAACACGGTGGAGAGAGTGTCGTTTGGAGCTGACAGGTGCACTTTTGTGCGTTTGTAATCATTCGTGGATGACTCAGCACCGTCATTATTTCTGATCTTTGTGTCTCTTCCATAAAGGAATAAATACAAAGTAATGTGTGTGCGTGTGAGTTGTTAGCAGAGTGAAGTTTATTACTTTAATTCATCATTTTCACTCATTGATCTGAGCGTCGGTGTTTCAGCTCGTTCTGCTGCTCTCTTCATGAAAGATAGATGATGTTATGATGAGTCGAGTGTGACTCTTATTAGAAGTACAAGGCAGGTTATGCAAGATTCATTCAACGTGATTAAAAAACATGCAGACCTTTACTTTTTTTAACTTGAAGGGTTTTAATATTTCATCTGCACTAAATGTTCTCTGTAAAACATTTGAGACTTTGGAAGAAGCCCTTCTTCCCTCTTAAAAGCAAAATCCTTTGTGTTTGTGGTGGCGTTTGGATACGACAGGCTTAAGCCCAAAAACACTCTGCTTTATATGGGATTAGCATTACATTTAACATACAGCATGGCCATGTTTTATTAAGTAACTCAAATGCATATCAGCGTGTAGCATCGGCCGTTTTCCACCGGTGCTCACACCAAACATAGTTTTAAGCTGCGTTACTCGGCCAAAAACAGGACAGACACAACAGCAGCTGCCTGAAAGTGCTTTATAGTGTGAAGTAAAGACTCTACAGTGATAGAAAGAAACCCCACCAAACAACCCCTTGTGAGCAAGCATTTGGCAAGAGTGGCAATAGTGGCAAGGAAAAACTCCTTTTTAACAGGAAGAAACTTCTGGAAGAACCAAATAGAGTTCTAAAAATGTGACGGATATAAAAAAAAAAAAGTCTTTAATTTCAGATCAGTGCATCTGTAAAACATAAAGTTGGAAGTCTTACAGCTGTGCTCATTGCTGATACTAGAACAGCTTTGCATGATTCACAGTTCAACATAAACCTTCTTTATGTCACACTGAGCCTCGCTGCTGTCCCCTCAGTTAATCCTGTGTGAAACCAGCTGTTTTAGCTCCTCCCACTTTAAGCCATCTTCATTCTGACAGAAGGTCTGAACAGAAGGTGGGTGGAGCTTCTGTTTCAGATTACCATATTAGGGATATCCTCTCCGTGTGATGTCATTAAGAACCACGAGTAGAAAAAACTGCCTGAAGCTGAGTGTATGTTCTGATTCGTACATACACCAACCTGGAGCAGGAGAGATGTGACAGGAAGTCAATCAATCAATCAATCAATCAATCAATCAAATCTTTATCTCAAACATATAAGTAATAAATGTTAATACAGAAAAAGACAAACATGAAATCACTTGAAGTGACCATATTAGGGGGAGAATGCAAACGTTTATCAAATCCTATACTTATCTAGATCATCCTCTGTTTTCATTATACAATCTAAAATATACCTTTGTGCCACAAATAAATATGTTTGTGTAATATGTGTTCCTGTAACTATGTTCATTGTTTGTAAATGTTTGAAAAGATGAGTCAAAGATGTGCATTAGTAGTTTTCAAATTCTTCAACAACTCCAAATTGGGGATGTTAAAGAAAGTTAATTTCACATCTAATCCCTGAGATATTCTAGTATAAGAAAAAGAAGTGCAATGTTCAACACATCTGTTTTTTCCACACAATAAAGAAGTGCTGCTGAAGTGAATGAAAGAAAGCACTCTTTAACTGTAAAAATCAATGTGCGAAATAACAGAAAAATAGCATCCATGTGAAAACAGGAACTTCTGTAGCACATACAGTGAATAAACAGGAGCTTTTATGTTTTTAAAAGTATTTTCTAATTACTTGTAGCATGAATGGGCATGTGGGAGGTCTTTGTCAGTAATGATAAAGCTGTAAAACGTAATCATTTACACCTTGCTTCACATTTTTCAGTGCTGTTAAGTGGGGCCAGACTGGAGTCTCTGCTCGGCCGACTTTAGGCCCTGGGCCTTATGTTTGATGCCCCTGCTCACTTTCAGAATGTGAAATTTTTGTGTCATGGTGTGTTTGTCTTTCTGCAGGGGAGCGACGACTCCTGCACCAACGCAGAAGCTCCCGGAGATCACAGGTAGGACATCTTCAGCGGAATGCATGTCATCTGTTTATACACTGATAGTTTTTTACTGTTTTCATTGTATATTGTCGTACAGGGAGTGCAGAATTATTAGGCAAGTTGTATTTTTGAGGAATAATTTTATTATTGAACAACAACCATGTTCTCAATGAACCCAAAAAACTCATT